ATGACACGCAACGGGAATAAGGGATGGATGGCCAAAAATCTTCTTTTTTCGTTCTATTCTCATACGTTGCCTCTGCCCGTCCACCCGAGGTGGACGGGCAGGCAAAGCATCGGACGTAGAGCCAGTCTAAAGCGTCCGTTGGCGAGATAAATGTAGCCTGAAACTGTAACGGGCATGTAAGCTGAAAAGCTATGTCGTTTGTATCGGCGCGTAAGACCCAACTCGTCTGAAACCAAAAAAGAGTCCCACGGACGGCGCAACGTGTAGTCGTCGGTAAATACGTGGTCTCATTGGTCAGTACCAAGATCTAGTAATGTACAATAAGCCTCCCCCCTTTTGCCCAAATGCTATATACATCTATAAGTATACTTTTTTTTTTTAACAAGAACTCGGAACTTTGTGCGCTCTGTGCATACTACCCGTGTTCAGCACAGCTGCCTTAGTAAGTGTAGCGGAACGACTTGTTCTCCTTGTCAGTCATTGACTGCCAGTTCTCGGGGGCCATGTAGGCGTCCTCGGACTGCTTGATGGCACCGCGGCGCTTGTTCTCGTAGCGGTAGTAGGCGTACAGCGCCAGGGTGACGACGGCGCAGCCGGCCTGGGTGCCCATGACGGCGATCTTGGCCGGGCGGTACTCGGGCGCGTCCTTGGCCTGGAAGGTCTGGGGTCCGATGATGTTGCCGAGCGAGAAGGAGCCGGAGACGATGGCGGCAGCAAAGGCACGCTTGGTGGCACCTCCAAAGTTGGCGGCAGTCCACTGCATGTTATGTCAGTCTAATGTCCACAGAGCTACCATGTAGTCTACGGTCTTTCGAGACGCAAACATCTCGCGACTCGGAGGTGTACTTACGGCGTAGAAGACGGTCAAGGGGGCAACGACGGCGTTGACGAGGTAGATGCCGGCCAAGCAACCAGAGCGGTTGCTAACGGGAAGGAAAGACATCAGAGCGCCACCAATGATGCTGAGCAGGGTTAGTATTTTGCTTTTTCATCGGACGCTAGATTCACTATTGACTCACGCTGGGATGATGCAGGCGACGATCCAAGCCCACCGGTTGGACGTGTGACGAATTCCGTATCCGACGAGAAGAGTGAAGAAGATGCTCACAACACCGGAAGGCATGTTCATCAGAGCGGCGTGCTTGGAGTCGTAGCCGAGGTTGCGGATGAGAGTGGCAGAGTAGGTCGTGACCACACCGCTGGAAACGGACAGCTGCGTAAAAGGGGTCAGCGGGTTTCGAACTACACATCTTCAGGAGCTACACGGGACATAACGCACGAGAACGACGGCGACGACCATGAGGTACATCTGGGGGTCCATGAGAGCCTCGAAGATCTGCTTGGGGCGGAACTTGCGGCTCTCGATACCGGTCTGGTTGACGCTGACGTGCTTCAGCAGGGCAACCTTCTCGGTGTCGCTCAGCCAGCGGGCCTGCATGGGCGTGTCCGGGACGAAGAGGACGGTGCAAATGCCAATGGTGACGGTCAGGCAGCCGAGGACGACGAACATGATGCGCCAGCCGGCGAGGCCCGCGCCGGGAGCGATGTGCTGGAAGCCGTAGGAGATGGCGCCGCCGAGGATCTGGCCGAGGCCGAGACCCAGGTACCAGAAGGAGAAGCGCGGGGCCTGCTCGGACTTGGTGTACCACTGGGCGCTGATGAGCATCAGGGAGGGCCCGATGGTGGCTTCGAAGATACCCAGGAAGACACGGGAGACGAGTAGTGACTGGTAGTTGTGGGCGGCGGCACCGCAGGCGGTCGCGGTGCCCCAGAGGATGACGTTGAGGCCCAACCACTTGGCCGCGGGGACCATCTGGAGGAAGTAGACTGTTGAAGGAGGTTGTGTCAGTCTCAATGTCTCTCATTTTCCTTTTGAAAACTGCTCATGATCCGAGTCTTGATGATTCGTGTCTCTCCAACGTTCGAGTTCCTCCATCACCCTCCAAGCGTCTCCAGAGTTTCCACATCGTTCGAGTCTCTCTTTCGTTGCTTTTCTTCCGGTGATATGGGGAATAAGATGGGGTAAGGCTTACTGTTGGGAACCTCAAAGCAAAGAAGACCGACAAAGAGGAAGGTGGCAATGTTGGAGAACTCGTTGCCGACGAGCTTCAGGTCCTTGCTCAAGCCCATGACGGCAGCGTACTACATTATCAGATATCACATTAGCATTGGGTCGCATGGTGACCTTGTGAGAGACAATGCCAAGTCACAAAAGCAAGGACGCCGCTCAAACATGAGCTGGATGAGAGAGAGGTTGTAGTGGGAAGAGAGATCTTGGAAGACCACGTGGAGGTACTCACGTTGAGAATGACCTTGTCCAGGAATTGCATGGTGTAGCAGAGGAACATGAGGGGGACAAGGCGCCAGTCGATCTTGCGTCTGAGCGCGTTCATGTCCACGGAGCTTGTGTCGGTGCCGGCATCGCGATGGTCGTTGAGGAACTTCCACGCGGCGTCGATGTTGCCCGTATCAGCGCGAGAGTCGGACGAAGCGGCCGAGCTCTCAAAGTCTTGAGGATTCTTCTCGTCCACGGACATGTTTGCTTTGTATATATGTCTTGTCTTGCTTTAGGCGCCGGTAGGTGTAAGACGGTAGGATAGAATAAGCAAAACAATGGGAAGAGATGTGACCCTTTCTCGATTACTACCTTAGCACTCAGTAGCGGGAAGGAGATGCCAAAAGCAAAGTTGGTCCGTCGTCTGGTGATCGACGTCGAGGCGCGCACAGGCTTCCGCTGCGGGACTGAAGGCTAAAGATGGTCGGATTGGGGGATAGTCGAGATTTCTGATCTGATATCCGCGCAGGTGTCAGATTGAAAAGGAAAAGGTAAAATAAGTAAAACGGGATGAAGAGGAGGGGAAAGTCGTAATGAAAAGGAGGAAAAGCAACGAGTGACAATAGTTGATGCGACTGATTAGTAGTTCGTCCAGTAAAAGGGACCCCGCCAGGAGATGTGTACAAGAATGGTATCAGAACCACCACCACACAGTCCACAGGTTACAACACTTGAACAGGAATATCTTGTTGGAACTTGGATGATGAGGAACAGCTGCAGGAGAGGAGGAGGGCTAGACAAGACGAGCAACGTGCTACCTGCGTGCTGCAGGTCTCACCTAAGTACATCTCACCCCATGTCGATGCAGGTATTGTCACTTTTCCCTCCCAAAATCGACCACACCAACAGCTTAGCGTACCGTACGGCGCAGCTCCCCGATCCCCGCCTGCAGTATGCAAGGTTTGCGTAGTTGGTGCAGGGGACCGGGGGGACCCTAACTCACGAGAAGGAAGACTGGGGCCCGATCCCCGGTGGCCGATGCATGCAACCTGGACCTCCAGTTCGAGAACGAGGGATATCCGGTCTGGCGAGCGATGGATCTCGACAAGTTACTATGTATGTACATACTCCTCTAGTCTCCTTCTTTGCCCCAAGTACGAGGTACTCCATAGACAGGTGGAAGTGGTGGCATATCCGTACCTCTCAGGCGAGGACTGGATCTAGATGAAGCCAGAACCCGGCCTGCTACGGCGTGCTCACCCCATTGGAAGAGGCCCATTGAAGAGGCCCTGTCCCATTCATATCCGGCTGCATCACCTCTTAGCCTATGATCTGTTTGCCAATACCAGTTCGTTTTGCGACTTTTGCGACGATTCTGGGACCTCTAAAGCTCTTGGGTTCTCGTCGGCCCGCTCTTCAGAGTGGTTTTGCGTTGGGATCCAGGCTTGATGGCGACCGCAAATAAGTGCCCCTCCTCCCCTCTCTATTAGACTGCTTCGCAAGTTATCCCCATCCGCTCATCTGCGGCCTGCTGATTCTTATCGTACATCCGAGTCATCAACCCAGAAGACGTCGTCGTGATGTGGCGGGCCAGCGCAGATAGCTGGGAATTTTGAGAGGCCAAGTGGTAACGAGGCAGTGAGGCTCTAAGCTCTCTGCAAATGAGAGGGCAGAAAAGGGAAAAAAGTTCTCCTGCGAGCGGGGGCGTTGCGAGAAGACGGGCAGAAATGGGGGCAGTTTTTAATAATGACAAGGCGACAAGACGGGACGGTCTAGCCGACTTTTACTGGACTTGTCAAAGTGTCAATTTGGCTTCTGCCATCGAACGATGTTAATCTTTGTCGCCTGCTTTGCTGGGGTTCTAGACACACCAAAAAGACTCAATTGCGTAGGAAGTTCCGCATTACGCACACAACACAGTAGTAGACTTTCGGGAAGAGAAACTTTCCAACTGTCAACCTTCGCCTCGGCGCCGACACAACAGTCAACAGAGCAGAAAAAGCCAGGGCCACGAACGGTGGAAGTTTGACAGTTACCGTCCGTGGTCCGTTCAGACCTTGCAAGTTGCCAACGACTTGCAGCAGACGCAATGCCGCTTAGCACCGCCCGCGTCCCTTTACCGTCGCATCTTCTGCTTTTGGCCTAACCTCTCTCACTTCTCCCCTCCCAAGAACCCCGGTTCGTCGACCGTCGTAGGCTGTTGCACCATGGTACCACGGTTGACGTTGCTAACCCAAGCCAACCGTTGCCTTTCCGTAGTAGTATTTGGTAACTTCTGATAGTATTCTCCCGAAGAGCAATTTTGTTCCGTGGAAGTTTTCCTGTCCCGAAGTAACCACACGCATTTTGGAGTCCCACGCCAGCCACACCCCCCTCCTCTTCGGATGGTACTCCGGACGGCATGATGGAGAACGACCGAAGCCAGCCCAGTCCCGGCCCCAGGAAGAAGAAATAATGTAATTCGGAAACCAGACTTGGGAGGCTTGGCAAAGCTTTAAGCGTGTAGCAGCCAGAAACCCAGAAAGAAGACGATGCATCAAATCGCAAGAAAAGGGAACGATGCAGCGATGCATTCGCTGCGGAGCCTCTTGCGGTGATCCCCCAAACACTTCGTCTTTCCCGCGCTTCCGTGAGCTACCTTCCTCTTCTTTGGAAGCTTCTCACATTTCATGCTGCCCAGCGTCACATTCGATTTACGAATAACCCGAAGACAGTCCACCCATCACTACTGCGTATGGCGTGGCATCACTGTATTTCCCTTGCCATGGCAACTTTTTCTGGCCGCCGCCCCATGTCCGATGGATGAAGGTCCCTGGCGGAGCCTGGTCATTGGGCCAGTGGCCGAACATCGAGACATTAACAAGGCCATGCCAGCACCAGGCCCCAAAACCCTATCACATTGCACGGATTCCCTCCAGACTGGCTCAATCCTTGCGGTGGTTGAGACAATTTGAGGACCGATTCCCTTTGCGAGACAAGGCATCCTAGGTTTCCATTTCTGCCTTGTCACTTGTGAGCTTTCTTGACCTGCCCCAAATGTCGTGACCTGCGAGCTTTTCAGGGCGTCGAAGCAGCAAGGCCAGGCGGGGATACTCTCTCGATTCCCCTCCTTGTAAGGATAGAGCTGGGTAGGCACGTATCCGTACCCCATAGCTTATTCCTTTCTTTTTGACTTCCCAAAGTTCCCAGAAGCTCGGAGCACGCATACGCAAAGCGACTGGCTCATATTTTCTTGTTCCTTGTGGATAATGTGATGTTCCCACCTAGCAAAAGGCAAGGTGAAGGGGCCATGCTGCACCACTCATCACACACAGAGTGTTCAGCGCCACGCACATATCCCACGCGCGAGCGGGCGGTAGAAGACCGCAACGCACCATACGACGTAATAAAGATTAAAGTGGCCAACCGTCCCCCTAGTCTCTGAGCCGTTTAACGTTCGCGGATGCTGTTTGTGTATTACTACTCTCCACCAAATTCATAAAGTGTCCCTTGCTTTCGACCTGCAGGCTAGGATCTTATTTTACCAGTCGGCTGGTCGCCTCCCCCCTCCTCCCCATCTTCGCTTCTCCCCTGAGTCCAAGTCCCCTTAACATCCGCTGGCCTTTTCATTCCTCTCCCCCATTCCAGCCCGGTTTTATACTACGCCGTTGGTCCCGCGTTGATTTGGTCTTGGTTTTCTCGTTGGAACTCGGAAACTCGTTGGACGTCAAAATCGTGTTGGTTGCAAGCCACAGTTACACACCACATCGCGGCAACGCTAGACGAGTCACGAAAGACCTCGGCGTTCTTCATCGGGAAGTTTGTTGGGCTTGTCTTGGATTTACGACTCAGCGCCACGCAGCCGCTGCAACGACCGTTTTATTTTATAAACCGCCGCTATGGGCTGGGTTCTCAACGCCACGCCCGAGGTCGAGGCCATATCGCAATGGCCGACCATCATCGCCGTCGTTATCGTCCTCTCTGTGCTTTCAGTCATCGTCGTGGGCTCTCGAATCTGGATCCGATTTTCTGCCCGAGGTCTGGCTGCCGATGACTGGATGTCGATTTTGTCCGAAGTATTTGCTCTCATCTATTCCGGCCTTACCATTGCACGTAAGTATCACGTCGAAAGTTGGATGTCTCCCACCAATGATTCTAATATGGTGTATCAGAAACGAGATATGGCCTCGGTTTACCCATCAAGCTTAGGCCAAAGGACAATCTGATTTTATACACGCGCATCAACTTTGCGGGTCGCCCATTTTACCAACTGGGCATCAGCTTTTTCAAGATTGCCCTGTTGATCAGTTATCTGCGTCTTCTCAAGGGAACCGACCAAAAGAACTATCGCCGCATCGTCTGGCTGACCATCATCTTGGTCTTCATCGCTCATCTCGGGTGCTCATTCTCCCTTGTCTTCGCCTGCACGCCTGTCGACAAGTCATGGAACCCCCTCAAAGCGGGAACTTGTCTGCCCGCGGGCCCATCCTTTACCGCATACGCCGTTGTCACCATCATTTCCGACGTCGTTGTGGCAGTCTTGCCAATCCCGGTGCTGCTCAAGCTCAACGTCCGCGTGGAGAAGAAGGCCGGTCTTATTGCCATTTTCCTCCTTGGCTTATTCACGACGCTCTGCTCTATCCTACGATACCTCGAGATCAACCGCATCCAGTACGGCGACGGCAACTCGACGATGCTGGTCCTGTGGGGCACCATTGAATTTAACGTTGGCGTAAGTTTTTTTCCGGAGAAGCGGCCGCGAGCTTTCCCCTTTCCCGTGTCTTCCGGTGAATCAAAATGGCTAATGAATATGGGCAGAATATCGTATCTTCACTTCCGTTCCTGGCACCTGTGTGCATGAAGAAGGCCAAGAACTATCGCTCAAAGTACTCTGGAGGCTCATCGCACGGACGAAGCCACCTGAAGGGCGCGGAACGGTACAAGCTCAGCGAGATGAACCACGACAAGTCCGTCTTCGCCTCGGCGAACCACAGCAAGGGCGACAACGGCAGCGAGGAGAACATTCTGCCCGGCAACATTATGAAGTCCGTGACGTACAGCGTCCAGGTCGACGACAGGGTGGACAGCAAACCAGGAATGCATGGTGGGATAAGCGGCGGCACGCGACGGAGGGATTCGCGAGATTCAGATGTGTAAGATGGAGAGTATCACGCATCAGCACAACTTTGAAAGCACAAAAAAGCATTTGAATGGCGACAATGTAACATGATAATGTGTAAAAGGGACTTGTTTTGGAAAAGAAAAGCATCAAATTCGATAGATCGCTTGTAGGGCGTTGGAGGCGCAGGACACACGAAACATGAGATGTTTTTGTTCATTAGTAGCGATCATTTCCCATTGAGGACTTCATCTTTTTCGGAATTCGGTTGAGGATCTGACGGAAGCGCACCGCATCACATCATCACTCATTCGCTTCTGCAGAGAATGATACCCTCGATCGCAAGCCGGCGGGAGCAAGATGGGGGGAAACCTGGTCATCATCACAGCACGGGCAGGGCACAGCACAGGCACAGCACAGGGCTCTCGTCTTGCTGATCTCTCCACACCGCGGTGGAGGAAGCACAACAGACCGGGGTGGTTGGGAGGAGGTGGAGGGACGGTTACGTGTCAAGAAATCACCCCATCACCCCATACATCCCACAACACGATGCTGATCCCCATTCCCAAGAACACGGTGTACGCGATCTTTCTTGCCTATGTTTATGTCATGAATGAATCAATTAGACTAGAAAGATTATTAGAGCTACAGGTGGGCTATCCGCAAGTTCCATAGTCCATTTACTCTTCATCAAACTGAAGCTTCATCTCCCGCTTGCTGAGGAGCGGACTCGTAGGGCTAATCTTGGGCCAGTCGTGCGCATCCATGCAGGCCCGCCGCGACGCCAATACGCCGGGTCGGGCTCTGGAGACCACGGCATCTTCGTAAATGTCCAGAACGGCTCGGAGATCCGCGAAGCTGTTGTTACTGCCGCTCAACTTCGACCCAACGGTCTCTGCGAAGTCGAGAACGTCGAGGATGGCGTGGTTGGCACCCTCGCCTCTGTCTGTGCGTGCCGTCAGCCATACATCCTCGTCTATTTGAGACGAACCACCCTCAAGGGTATGGTAGATAGAGAGGCCAAGAAACCCAGACTTCAATGCCGAACGAAACGTTTCGGAGAAAATAGGCAAACGGGGAGATTTGTCAACAAGAAAAGAGGCACGGGATATTGTTCAACTTACACATCGCCATCGCATGAAAAGCATCGCCCATCAACACAACCCTCCCTTTGGACCTCAACCCCTTTGGCGGAGGGAAGTCGTAGAGATCGAGGTGTTTCACGTCAGTGTCAGTGGGAATGCCGAGTGCAAGGGAGCGAAACGGCTCCGACCACCCTTCGGCAAAAGACCTGATGAGCTCGACCTTGCCGGCGTCCGTCTGCGGATAGCTGACCGGCTCCGGCTTACCCAGGAAGCCCGGACGATCCGGCCAAGAGACGCACAGTTGACAGCTGTACTTGCCCGTGCTGTCGTCGTTGTTTCCAGGAGCGTCAAGCACTGCAGTTTAGGGAAAATGTGTAATTAGCTTCTCGTTCTATCTTTTTTTGGGCCCTGTTCTTTTTTCCGCCCTGCGTACAGGCGCGCGCGAGAGAGAAAGTCAATAGAAAGACGATGGAGAGGCAAGGGGAGGTGAGGGTCTCCGTCCCAAGGTAGCACTCTCGGCTCAGGGACAACCCTGGTTCGGTACAGAGAAAAGACCTCGCTTTCGTCTTGATCGGGTGTCAAGAGCCACTCTCGTGACATGAAGAAAAGAGGAAAGATCGGACACTGCTCCCTACGCTTTGATCATAAAACTAAGAAAAGGGAGGAACTTACTGCTGAGATAGAGAAACGTATCATTCCGAGAAGATGCACCTTGCAGGAAAAAGGGGTCCAGCTTCCGAATCGGCTCCATCTCTTCGGGAGTCAATTGCAACTTGAGACCAAGCACCCGGACCGGAATCCGGTATCTCTCATGTTGTTCCGGGAAGAGCTGGCGCCGGACACGGGAGGGGCCCCCGTCGCAGGCAATGAGCACGCGACCGGCCACCGAGCTGCCGTCTTCGAAGTAGACAGCGACACCGGTTTCATTTTCTTCATATTTCGTCAAGCCTTTCCCCCACTGCGATTGCTACTTAGCACGGGAGTTGTTTACGGAGCATTGCCAAGTGCCTCGTGTCCAACCGTTGAAGATATGCAGGTGGGGTTTCTAAGGGGGAGCAAACATACCTGAATATCGATATCTGTAGCCACCAAACGGCGCAGCCTCTCCCTCGTAACTCTAATCCTCAGACTCTCCGGGGCACGGGGGCTGGCGCCTTTCAGCTCTGCGGTGCTCAAATCGAAAAAGGGAAACGCAGATGCCTCACCCCTAGCGACTGCAGCCTGGTCGACGTAGGCCTCGGGCAGCCGCGCAACAAGATCATCTGGCAGCAAGGATCGTAGTGCAGGGAGAGACCAGTGCAGCGTCAAGCCCCAACCGACGCCGCGGGTTGTGAGGTCCGTGTCGCGCTCGTAGATACGGTAGGGGATGTTGTTCTTGCGGAGATACTGCGCAAGCAGCAGGCCGCTGACACCCGCGCCCACGATGATGATGGGGAGGGGTCCTTGCTGTGAGATTGCCATGGCTGCTCTGTGCTTGACTGGGCCTTTTCTCTTGCTGGGCAGCTTCTTTGCTTGGAGCGTGCTTTTTCTTGTGGCTTGCCCGTTGGACGAATCGGTTGGTCTTGGGGAGAGGCTGGGGGGCGTGTATAACTTCGACCAGGCCTCTTTTCTTTTTTGCAACGGCTGAAAACAATGGACGATAAGTCAGAATTCTACGCAGCAACAGTGGCGGCTGTGCGGCAAGCAGGCAAATGAAACGAGCAAGAGAGCGTACGGCACCAATGAGATGCAGCAATAATGTAATTGTATGTGTGGTGACCGGCCTGGGCGCGGAACACATCTCTCAGAACTCTCCCACCAGTCTCTGCACCATCAGCCCAAAGGGCTTCACATCCGATGCAAGAGAACTCGAAAGTCATCCAATTTCACGCAACCAGACCGCGGTCTCTCCTCGACCTTTCATCGAACCACCCCCACTGTGGTACTCTTTTTGAGCCGAAAACTCTAATCCCACTTCCCTTGACCCCT